TCTTAATGGATCAATGCTACGTCAAAAAAAAAGAACGATTAGAATTAATCGAACAAACTTACACTTATTCAAAAAATAGAGATCAATCACCGACTTGTTTTTCTTTTCAAGCGGTCCTGATAAGACTGCGATATACAACATCTAAAACAGAGATTGCCATCATCTCACGCGAAGTGGCAGATGTTTTAATTAAGGTCTGACGTTTTTCTTCTTGTGAAAAATTAAAACGTCTATTTTCCAGCAATAAACAACAACTATTCGATGTTATCGCTAAAATTGCTTTCGGAGCGTTGCTCTCTTTCCGAAAACAATTCGAAACACTGAGACTAAGAACCAACCCGACCTTTCTATAATTAATAATTTTTATTCAACCAGAATTAAAAATGTGACGAAGAGATGAAAAAAATTGATTAAAGTAAACACCAAACAATACTGTTAAAGGATGGAAAATTGATCAAATTTCAGAAAGAAAGTATCATAACATACTTCAAGCTATTTGTCTCATTAAAAAGCACCTAGCCCCTAAATTTTTTTTCCTTTAAAAAAATCTTCATGCTTTGATGAGTATGTCTTCGACAAATTTTTGGATTTGGTCAAATCCTTAAATTTTTGTACCCCTTTGAAGTACGGAAAATCGCATTAGAATCACCGCCGTTTTGACTCACGACCGCGTTTCAAGGATCAAGAGTCTGGCGACTAATGTGACGTCACTTAGAGAACCCAATGATCTGTATTTCGCGCCATTTTGCACAGTTTACTGGTTATGTTTGGAAGGTTAGATCGATATTGGTCGCAAATATGCCGCAGAATGAATCTAGTGCTAGAAAGGCTTTCGCAGGTCGACGACTGGCCGAGAATTCCTTGAGCGTCTTCTCGAAGTGACGTCACAAGTCTACTCTGCCCAGATCCCCATTTGCGCGGTCGTAGTCCAGTCGGATCTCGACTTCAACAGGGCATAAAAAAATGAGGATTTAACCAAATCTAACAATTTTTTCCAAGAAATACTCACCAAAGCAGGAAGATTTTTTTAAGTGAAAAAAAAAAAAAAAATATAGGGGTCAGGTGTACTTAAAGACGCCTTTTGATAACATTTAGCTCTCAAGAAGCCTTACCCTGTAAAAACTCCACAAATAAATGAGAATGACTAAGGCAGGGTACGAAACCACGACGTAATCTGAATTGGGTTCTAAGTATTACCATCTCGACAATGCCAAACATATGCATAGTCGAAGATATTAATTAGATTAATTGTTATTAATTTATAAGGAACAAAAAAATTAGCAGTTAGGAGCACAAAATCTACTATTTTCAACCGTTAGTCCTAAAGAGAAAAGTTGAAAACATTCCCCATTTACGATGTGTCATTTTGGAACTGTGAAAATTTTAAACTGATATGGGTCTTATTTTGCGGCTAATGTGTGGTTACGACGCTGTCTACTCCAACAAAGGGGCTGACCATTTAACTTTTGAGGGGGGGGGGTGGCTGATTTCTGGTCGTCAAGAGATTTTTTTCTAGCAATCTGCTAGGAAGGATATTTTTTCTCTCCTGATTTCTCTGCAGGATTTTTTCCTCAAAAAAGGGTCATGTGTTTAGATATACAAAATATATTTCCATTTACATTGTGGTCACTGCAGCAATAGTTCTAATATAGCTATTTTTTCATTCTTTACAGTCATTTTATATTACGTCAAATAAAGTGATACACCACAGGCAGATGTGAAAACGTTTAGTTTCTTAATTAACAAAAAAAAAAGCCAAAAATAGCAGAAAACAGTTTAGAAATGCTCATAGCATGGTAAATGCTACTGGAATCATTAGTTGCAATATAAAAGTGGACTAAAATATTCAAAACAAATGTGAAAGCAAAATTGAAGTTAGTTGATTACGATAGCTCTAATACTATTTGCTCAGCCTTTTTTCATTCCACTTCTACATTGAGTACCTCAAAGTTGAACATAAAAGCAATGTGATGGTTTGCGACATTTTTTTTTTATTTCTTACAGCAACGCAAGAATTTTTTTTTTCTGTTACATTTGGGCTTTATGCAACTGTTTTCTTCCAACAAGCGCTTGCAGGAAATGTTTTTTCAAAATTACTCACCCCCCTCCCCCTCAAGAGCTAAATGGTCGGCCCCGGAACAAAGACATTTGACTTAGGTCACGGAATCATATTTTGCCAAGCGGACGTGTCTTCTTTTCGCGCGTGGGATGAGTTGACAGAGAGGTGATTTGTTTCTTTTAGGATCTTAAGTTTCGTTATCAGGTTTTTACTGGTGGCTGTCCTGAAAGGCATAATTTAATTTAGTTAACATCGAGCTGGGGAGAAGAAGCCAACTGAAATATGTAAAGCAAGAATTAAAATCGGAGAAGAACACCGCTCTTTTTCAGCAAGCATATTCAAGAGAAATGTGATTAAAAAAGTTCAAGCTAGAGCTATTTTACCTGAAACTATACCGCCACTTGAAAATCAGCAAGAACTGAACAGAAAATTACATCATATCAAGAAACTCTGGTACTGCGTCAGTGGGAATAACAAGGTAATTTAGGTTTTATCAACTAAGTTGATCAAATGTAAATTGGCCAAATTGTAAAAAAAGTTTCAAAGTTGACATTTCGGGCCTTAGGCCTTCCTCTGAGCCAATTGTTAACTTGATTAGGAATTACCCTAGTCGCTCTCCTCTAATGATAAGAGAATTATTAATTCAAGTATTTTTAACTTTTTTTTTAAACTAGCACGGACAGACATTTTAAAACAGTTCCTGAAATATAGACAACATTTGAATCGTTAGCCGTAAAAGCCATTCCCTCATTGTGACCTTCACAGTCGTTATCCCAAAGTATCAATCCTGATATGTTTTTTTGCATGACTGATATCGAAGGGCTGCAGCCAGCTGGATAAAACATGGTGAAAAAAATTTAAGAACGATGTCTGGATAAAACGATTAAAAAATTACGAGCTTTGACCGCCTGAACTGCAGCCTTCGACGGGCAAGCCGGAAGAATAACAAGAAACGGAAAAGCGCATTTTTATTCAAATTTTGACTTCCTTCTTAATTTTTGGCGAAACTTCTGTTTGGTCACCCATTTAACCTGACTAGCTCTTAAATTCATAGTGGCAGTTTATTATCCTTTTTTCCTGTACATGCAGAATGTGGAAATAAGCCCTGAAAGGTACGAGTAACTACCCTGTGACCAAAGCTTTAAGCGGAAAATTCAGCACACATAGTATCGAACGTTGCTTGTTTGCGGACGTTTTCTAATTATGTTTTTTTTCCGTTTTCCTAATTTAAGAGATGATAAAGGTAAATAGACCAAACAGGTGTTTCGTCAAGTGAAAACTACTCCACGTCTAAGCTTTGGGCGTGCATATGTTTTCATGTAGAGAATTTTTTAGCGATTTAACAAAGATTATTCGATTAATTATAATTTCTTCTCAGTGATGTCTCGATCTCTAATACTAACTGTAAGCATTGTAATGGAATATG